TAAAAAGCAATTACTTCTCTTAATTATTATTATCTTTTAAAATGACTTACTAACGAATAGCATTGTGAAAAAAGCAAATGTATTTAAAATGAATAATGAAAATAAAAAAACATAAATAAACATAAAACGAGACATATTACTTATACAAAACTTTCATGTTTTGAATTCTTTTGACCGACTAGTTGTACGAGGTGTATGGCAGAGATAACATAAAACAGATTTTCAAAACATACTAATGCACTCACATACATGACATTTTGTAATTTGTTTTAATTGAAAAAAAACCATTTTCTTTAAAATCCGATCACGCTAGAAATAAATATTCAATGTTCGTTTATTGTGTATATATATATATATATATATATATATATATATATATATATATATATATATATATATATATATATATATATATATATATATATATATATATATATATATATATATATATATACTAGCCGTCCCGGCCAGGCCCTGCTCTGGCTTGTGTGAAAAACCTTTCTGTTAAAGACCATTACCTGTGTGTTTAGAAATCACCATAAACCCGGCATTGCCCACCCAAACCACAACCAACCAAAAACAACAAAACGCAAACATAACGCTAACACAATTACAAATACAAACGAAAACAAAAACCTAATAACAAACCCAACCACAATCACAAACACCAATACAAACACAAACAAAAAACAAACAAAAAAGCAAACGAAAACAAAAACCTAACAACAAACCCAACCACAACCACAAACACCAATACGAACACAAAGAAAAAACAAACGAAACAAACCAAATCCAAACGCAAAACCAACCACAAACACAAACCCAAAGAAAAAAACACAAACGAAAAAGCAAACGAAAACAAACCAAATCCAAACGCAAAACCAACCACAAACACAAATACAAACCCAAAGAAAAAACACAAACGAAAACGAAAAAAGAAAGAACAAAAACGAACGAAAACGCAACCACAAACGCAAACGCAACCTAAACACAAAGAAAACACTAACGCGTACATAAACGGAAGTGCTCACAGTCTAGCCCGGGGTGGAATCGCCTATTTCAGCTTAATAAACGACTATAGTACCCCAACTTGTTCATAGTCTTTTGCACTCAGGAAGGTAGGCGCCAAACCGAACACGGGAGGCACGGGGCCCAAAATAGCACCCTGTCTGGGCACCAGAGGACGCCCGGATTCGATTCACTTAAAGACTATAGTAACCGTTCTTATCCATACTCTATCGCGCTGTTTAAATCGAAATTATGCACCATGGCGCTCACAGGATAGCCCAGAGCGCCAAATTGAACCCTGGTGGGGCGCCGGCGGACGCGCCAGTTTCAATTTAATGAACAATTATAATACTCCAAGCTTATTCGTAAAATACCTTCAACATGTGCACTTGATCAATCCCCGCTAATTATGTAATTACTTTTTTTCCCAACACCAAAACAAAGTAAAAAGTAACTTCTTTTCCACAAATGCAATGCTTTATAAAGGGAAGTAATTATGTGTTTTCCTAATTTATCAAAGGGAAGTAAATGCTAAAGGCCTAAATATAAAAAAATTTCAGACATAATTAGAATTTTTGTTATTTTTTTTAAATTGTGTTTAAAGAAAATGCCGACAATTAGTACTATCAGTTTGAAAAAATGAAAATTATTTCCCAACACTTTCAATAGTAATTTTTTAACTCATAAATTTAGACAAATGCGCACGATAATTGATCTAACACTTAAATCCATAGAAAAGTCTTACACTTTGCAAGATCGCTAAATTCAAAAGTAAATAAAAACTTTTAAAAAAATTTAAAGTCATGTCAAAGTTTACTACTCTACAACAGGGGTCGGCAACCTGCGGCTCGCGAGCCGCATGAGGCTCTTTTGATGGCCAGTTGCGGCTCTTCAGCTCCATGCACAAATATTAATATTTATTTTATTTTATTTCCAAAACTCATAAAATTATTTTTTTATTGCTTTGCAACACTCGGCAATAAAAGGTATAACAATAGATATAAACAAAAAACATTCACTATTATATTAGACTATTTAGTTACTCCCTATATCAGTGTACTTCCTATTACATTGTCCATTCCAAATTGAAACATTCAACATCATAGTGGATATCACAAAGAAACTAAACCAGCTAAGTGTAAAACTGAATGGAAAATCTAGCCTATGTCTTGCTTGAAAAGATGGTTTGTTTCGAGAACAAATATTTTTTTTTGTTGAATACATGATGAGCGGTAAATTACTTATTTACGAAAAATCTGAAAAATATATCGTCATAATACCAATGCTTCTATTCAATCACTTCAGCATTAATATAAACAAAATTAAGGTTCTTTTCAATGAGATATTTGAGCTGTTCAAAACAAACACTCTGACTTACATAGTAGATCCTCTCAACACAAATTCAAATTAGAGTATCTCATATATTCAAAGCTGTTTATTTTAAATTATATATATATATATATATGTATATATATATATATATATATATATATATATATATATATATATATATATATATATAGTATGATATTTGTTTAGGATTATATATATATATATATATATATATATATATATATATATATATATATATATATATATATATATATATATACTAAACAAATATACAATTGACATAAAATGTTTGTGGCTCTTTAAAAACCGGGTAATGTTGTAAATTGTAACTTTTGGTTCTTTCGCCTCAAAAGGTTGCCGACCCCTGCTCTACAATACAGAGATCACTCTGTGTTTTCTTAGAGATTTTTTTTTATTATATATTCAGACTTGCATTTTTTATTACTAGTCTAGTCAGAAAAAGTTCTTTAATGAATGGCCTGCTGTTAATAATAAGTATGTATAAGTTTAACAGTAATTCCTGCTGTAAATCTCAATCAATTAAATGTCAAGCCAGAAAAAAAGTGTTTTGCCTCAACAGATGATTTCAAAGAAATGGCTAAATTAGCTCTTGGCTTTGATACATTTTTTAAATTATTTATCTTAGTTGTATACTAAATAGATAAAAATTTGTAAAATAGATACTAAGATTTATGTAAGGAATTAAGTGATTAAAAAATTTAAATGTTCAATAAATTAATTTATTATTAAAATAAAACAGTTTGATTTTACTTTCTAATGCAAAATTTCTTCCGGGCTTTTTTAAAAATCTCAATTTAAAAAATTGTATAAACAACACAAATAACGTACTTTTAGAGTAAAGTTAGGATTTTTATTTATAAAACTCATTTTGAAAGAAAAATCTTCACAGGCAAAAATAAAAATTATAATTTAGACTAGCTAGTGATATTAGCATTTTTTAAATGATTGCTGATATATATTTTATAAAACTGTTGGGAAAAAGTGAATGAGTTGAGACTAATTTTAAATGTATCAATATGAGACATTATTAATATGTGTTGTATGATTTTTGCTTGAATATCTGAATGTGAAAGTCTGCACCAAATCTATTTATAACGCAGCTTTTGTCAGTTTTTTGAGGCATTTGTTTTGAATATTAACAAATAAATTACTTGCATCAATCAAAAAAAAAAAAAAACCAAACTACATGATGGTATTTAGATCGTTAGAATGTTCCAGTCAGCATCATTCCGGAATCTAGAAATGAGATAATATAAAACATTGTAGTCCAAACAGTTAAACAACAAAACTAGATATAAATGCATGATGTATTATTTAATTATCTAAGAAAAATAAAGTAGAAGTGAATCTTTTCAACTTTGCCGCTCATTCTTATAAAACGGTGGTACTTTCGGTGCAATCTGCATATAGAACAACATAATTCTCCATACCATTGGAGAAAACAAATTGACTTAATAGGTTCTTAGAAAAAGCTGCTTTTTGAAAATACGATTTTAAAGTAATAAAATTTTGAAACATTTTGAAAAATTGGAAATAGTTATATACTCCTTCTGGTTACATGAAACTACTCAACAGGTGAAAGTAATTTATGTACAGGAGATCCTTTACAGAAGAAATTACGTTTATCTTTATAAAGCGGTACAAAGTAGAATGAAATAAAACTTAAGTTTACAGGAAATTTAACAAAGATGATACGTCTAAATCATCCCTTAACCCTTTTAGGGTCGTTAGGACACCAGCATAGAGTTGTGTATCTAAGGTTGAGTGTGGCATGGCGCCACCCTCCCCTCTCCAGGCCTGACCACAGCCAGATGTCTCCGTCAAGGTGGCTCGGCAGAGACCCGAGGACAAACTTTCGATTTGCATCCCACCCTCAGAATTTCGATTTGTTTTTCCAACCAATTTTGTCGACCCCTTAGACATATGCCCCCCCCCCCTCGATACGCCTCTGCGCCTTGGTCACGAACACGTGGCTGTTAAATTTTTATTTAGAAATTCATGCGCCGTGACTTGTGACCTTTACTGGAAGGTCATACGATGCCGCGTTAGCATCAGTTGTAAGAGTTGCCTATCAGAGCTGAGTTGTTGTCCCCATAATCGGGGATCGTCTGCCCGGTGTTTGAACTCGGGAGTTTCTGGTACAGCAACAATGTGCTACACCAACCCGACCATGCCGAAATGATAGATACAGAAGTATACTATCTAATATATATATATATATATATATATATATATATATATATATATATATATATATATATATATATATATATATATATATATATATGGCACCTATACATGGAATCTCGTAAACCTAGGGGGGGGGGGGTGGGGTCCGCGAAACCCCCTCCCCGAAAAATATCTATCGCCACCCTGAACGTAATAGATTTTATATTGAAACTATATACTTTTGTCAGTGTCGTCGTCGCCCCCCCCCCCCCCGGGAAAAATTCAAGTGCCACCGGAGAAAAAAGTCTGGAAGCAATACAAAGTGATCGTGTTTGTAAAACTTAGACGAACAAACACACGCTCTCGCAAGCACGCACACCTTCACACACCCTACCCAGCACACAAACACGCAAACACACACAAAGACAAACATACCTACTCAGACAATTCTAATGCCTTGACCTATGTTTCTTCCTCTTCTTCAGGCTATTGACCACTGAAAATAGAAGGAAAAAAAATTATATTAAAAAAACATTTTGTCATTAAGTTCTGTCAAGAGCACTTAAGAGAAAATACAGGCAGAGAGAATGACTTCACGTGAAACAAAGAGCAAAATATCAAAATGAAACAAAACTTATCAAAATTAAACACCAGAGAAACACAAACATAGAATAATGTTATGTAAATTAAAAATGGCACAGACTGTATTATTAGGTATGGTTATATTATATTGTGTTTTACATGAAGTTGCATGAATGTAGAGTACCTGGCTAACGGAAGGACTGTTTGAGCGACTCGTCATGTATTTTCCCATGCTTTTGGGTGAGATCGCTCATTGACGTAAGGGGAGAGAATGGATCGTATAAAAGGGGGCGCAAGGTGAACGAAAAGGGGTTTGGACTGTGGCTGTGAATATGAAGTGGAATGTCACCACGTCTCTTTGATTCGTGATTGTACTTGTACCAGTTGTTTATCTTCTACTATGGATTTATTATGGATTTATCATTTCACTGTGTAAAGTGTAAATAAAGTTTATAGTTTAAATTTACTACTGTTTGCTCGTGTTCTTGTATCAAAACAAACCCACAACAAGGGATATTACTGTTGTTACAAAAAAGATAATCTAAATTGTGTGGAGCAGCTTTCTAAGTCGTGTAAACAATGTCCATTACAAATAGAAATAGCGTATACTATACTGTATGATGGTTTGTAAAGCTTAACAGTTTGATCTTGTTCAAGTAAGATCTTCTAAGCCAACGAATTCCCGCCACTATATTAGTATTGTGTTAACAAAACAACAACTTCTGTTTGAGTTTCAGAAATCTCTAGAAAGCTGGTTATATTTCATTTAATGTATCTGCTTACACGAATGAAGTCCTAACCTCTAACGCGTGCATTCGAAATAAAAAAGACACCACACACTAGCTATGTAATAAAGGGTGTAATTTATAACAAAAAGAAAAACCATTAACGTTTTCTCAATGCGACCCCACACCCCTCACTCCCCCAACCTGTGAAACCAAAGTGCGTCCTAGAATTAAAAAAACAAATATCAACTTACGGGTGAAAAACAGGAGGGCAGCTGTAGCAACCAGGCCGAACAATAGCTCATCTTGGTAGTTGTCAGCTTCTCTGTATGTAGAGAATGTATGTTTGCAGTTTACAAAGATGGATAAGCTGTGAGTGAGTGTGTGTTTGTGTGTGTTCGTGTGCGAGCGTGCGACAGTGCATGTGCGTGTCGAAGCTTAGCACGTAGGTAGGTGGGTATAAAGAGGATGTTCATTACACTAATTACACTAATACCTACATAAATAAACCAAACTTACTTGTGACCATCGTCTGATGATTCCTCACACTTGCAGGGTTCCGTCGCATTTTCTCTAGGTCTATAAATAGAGAAGATATGTTTTAAAATGTATATATCGATACATAGATTAACTTTCTAACCCGATAATCTATAAGACAGGTGAAGAAGTTCATTTATTCAGTGAGCTCGCCATATGAAGTGGTCAGCCACCTTTATTTTCCCTAATGTGAGTTAGGTACCCATCAAAACTCTGGAACGTTCTACTAACATGAACCCGGATTTGAACTAGAGACATTCGGGATAGCAGTCTCGCCCTCTACCGCTATGCCACCCCGTCCCATATTTACTGATGGATTGGTAAATAAAATAAACTAGACCAGTGTTGGTACCAGGTTAGTTAGCGCCCTAGGCAGAACTTATTCAAACTTATTCAAACTTATTAAAACGGCCCCTTTTTTACACACATACATTAAAATAATAAATATGTATAAGTAAAAAAAACATATAGTGTCAAATTAATTATTAATTGTATAGGCGTTAATGTTACAAGTAAACTGCAAAATGAAAATTTAATTTTTGCTCTATCTTCCTCGCTAAACTTTCTAATAGTTCGTTCAATTGTGTTGATTGGTAATCACGTTCTCTTGTAATGGTTGTAAAGGCCACGAATCTGTGACATAGTTGAACGGATATACGTTTCAATTTATTTCGTTTTGAAAGAAATTATGTTACCCATTACCTATGAAGATTTAATAGTATTCTCGAGAAAACAATGACACTATCTTCCAACTAGTGTTGTACTTTATTTGATTTATGCGTCAACGATGTTTCTAAATGTTTGCAGTCAGTAAGTAAATCAGCGAACTATAAATGAGCATTAACATTTGATAACCGTTTAAAATGCTTAGAAGATTGATATTATATACAACAATTATTACCTTGTCTATAGTTTATGTAATATAATAAGAGTTAAATTAATTATTAGATATTTTTTTTATAACGGCGATTACACATTTTTTGCGCACTCTAACTGTAGCGCCTGTCCTGATTGTATGCCTACGTTAACATAAGTAAAAAAAAAAGACAACTTACTTTTCATTAGCAGACTCGACATCAGGTTGCTCATTGGTGTTCATGTCTGGCCTGTAAGAAAGTATAGATGTTTACTATTGAAATAATAGTTTATAGTAAAGTAAAGTTGCATTTTAAACCTGACTGCCTATGGGGCAGATTGAGTAGAGTTCACCTTTTTGTGACCTCGGCATATGAAGAGATAGTGTGGTCAGCACTATGCACAGCCACCTTTTCTTTCCTTAACGTGAGTTAGGTACCCATCAGAGTTGGGTGGACCTAGGTACGATCTACTGCCTCGAAACCGGATTCGAACTTGAGACTTACGGGTTGGCATTTCAGCTCGCTACAGCTAAGCCACTCAGTTCCATATTTTATTTAATAACACATTTTTGTGACTGCCTAGTTCCCATAACGGAAGCGCCGCCCCTGCGTGTAAGCGTACTTTAACATAAGTAAAAAAGACAACTTTATTTACTCTTCTTCATCATCAGACTCATCTTCTTCATCATCAGACTCGACATCAGGCTGCCCAGTGACGTTCATGTGTGGCCTGTAAGAAAGTACAGATGTTTTCTATTGAAATAATAGTTTCTATCGACAGGTAAACACATTCAATAACTTAGACAAGAGGAAGGCAGATCAGCCTGCAGGCCGTTGGATAGAAAGACAAATAGTTTTTAGTCCAGTGAAACCTACAGAAGTAAGAACTTACTTGGGGCAGCATTCCTCTTTGTAGCTGCCGCAACATCCGTACCGACAGTAATGGAGGCGGTACGTGGACAGGTAGGTGGTTAGGCCAAAATAGGAGCCAGGTATATCGGCTCGAAAACGAACTATATCTATCCAGTCAACACAGCGCTGACACTTCAGGCCTGAAGATAAACATTCAAGTATTCATTAGTTGCATGTAACTATTTGTGTAAAGCGTCAGTGATCACGTACACAGGTACACAGGTACACACGCACACACACACACACACATATATATATATATATATATATGTTTATAATATTATGTATATATAATATATAATATATATATATATATATATACATATATATATATATATATATATATATATATATATATATATATATATATATATATATATATATATATATATATATATATATATATAATATTATGTATATATTATATATAATATATATTTATATTTATGTATATATAGATATTATATATATATTATAAATACGTATATATATATATATATATATATATATATATATATATATATATATATATAAAATTTATATATAAATGTAATATGCAATTTATATATATATGCAATTTATATATATAAAATTTATATATATATAGGGCCTATATATATATATATATATATATATATATATATATATATATATATATATACATATATATATATATATATATATATATATATAAATTGACTTTTTTGATTTATTATCAATTATCGATCGTTACTTACCCGACACCTGCAACAACATGACCATGACGAAAAGCCACGCATTCTTCCAATGTCCACGACAAGAGGTCATGTGATCAGGCCCATCATACACATCCATCATTTTGGTCTCCTCTGCCTGTCCAGCTACCTGGACATCAACTACGGCCTGCTCGAGCTCGGCCTCTTCCTGCAATGTCAAGGCCGTAACCTCTGGCTGCTTCTCGACACCATTTATAACCAGGATTCGATCGGCCTCATCGTGTAGAGGTAGTTGCACGGCCGTCACCTTTGACCCTAGGGTTAGTAGCACGGCCGTCACCTTTGACCCCAGGCCGTTGATAATGCTTAGATATGGGCAGGGCCATTTCTTCTGTTTGAGAACAAGGCTAAGAAATTCCTGACGAGATGAATGAAGGCATTGTCTCATATACGCTGGAGACCCACGGAGATTTTTGGGTAGAGAAGGATGAAGACGGTCACAGAGCTCCATAGGACGACGAGATAAAGACTTCTGGCAATGGAGGTCCAGCTTCTTGACCAGCCAAATGGAAAGAGCATCAGAAACGTAGTTAGAGAAAATGGGACGATCTGTGACCTTTGACCTGACCAGTATGACCTGCAAATACATGTCTTAGTGTTGGTCGTTGATGTTCTTTGTAAACAGCATTAATATCTTTGTAAACATGCATTAAATAATAGCTATAGGCTACCAAACGGAATAATTTTATAAACAACCAATTCATGTGTGATTTAAACATGTCTAATATTATAATTGAACTCGTCGGTTACCTTGGATGTGTTTCCTGACAAAATCAACTGCTTTAAAACTTGCCAGACGGTGTAGAGAAGCTTGGGACTGCACGCTACGAACTTCATGCCTGTGGACATGGGAGAAATTGTGGTCCAGATACACAACCATAAATACTTGTATGTACCAATATAGTTTCATACAAACGTGTATGTACAAACACAGAAACATTTTCAACACAACTTCGACTCACCTGAGCTGTCTCTCAAAAAGAGCCACGTTGTCGTGCCATTATCCAGTATGACCTCTGCACTTCCTGTCAGGTGAGTCAGGTGGGCTACCGTGTCCTGGCTAGAGAATTCATGGATAGAAGCTTCTGCGGAGTTGGGATACATGGCTAGGCTGGCTGACTCATCGAATCTTTTCAGACATAGAAGGAGGGGAGATAATGTTAGATAATGTTAGATAATGTTATATAGTGTTATATAATGTTAAATAATGTTAGATAATGTTAGATAATGTTAGATAATATTAGATAATGTTAGATAGTGTTAGATAATGTTAGATAATGTTAGATAATGTTAGATAATGTTAGATAATGAGTACACAATAATCTTGTGATTTTATTTATACTAAAAGAAAAAAAAAGTTAACATATAAGCTCATCTATACTTTCTCGTACATTCGCTCATAACAGCAAACATATGCCGCTTTTCACTTTCTCGTATACAGAGTATAGAGGAAGTATTGTAATCGTGCACATGAAATTCTGACAGTTTTCACCGTTTACACCGCAGTGCTTTATCATATACGGAGTATGGGGGACTTATTTTAATCGGGCGAAAATTCTATATCCAAATTTATCCGAATTTCATCGTTTTAAGCGTAATCCAGTCGGAAAAAATGGGCCTTTCAATTATGTCCATTTGTTTATGTGTACGTGTGTTAATGTCCGTGAACAAGATTACTACAGTACCGTTAGAGCTAGGTTGATGAAATTTAGCATGTAAGTATTATATCAAATTTATAGTTTTGTATCAACTTTTCAGCGATTTCCGGTAACAGGAAGTGGAGCTTTTTCTACTTTTAACGTTTTGAAAGCCTAAAACTTAAGCATTGTTTCTGATAGATGGATGAAATTGCACTTGTAAGTAAAATATCTAATTTAGGTAAAATCACGATATAGCGTCGGTTATTATTCCGGAACTGTACAGCAGTAAGAAACAGTAAAACCATGGCGTAGTCTGTCGAGCCGTTCCGGAAACCACCGGAAATACTGTAAACCATCATTTATATGCCGCCATATTTTTTTAAAATACATAATGTTGAAAAATGTGCAAGGATTGATTTTAGTTGCAATTTAAATACTGTTTTGCTAATTATTTTGTATTTCTAATTATTTTAAGTGTATGTGCTAATTATTGCTGCTACTAAACATTATTCTAGTTATTCTTCCTACTTTTAACTTTAGAAAATCTAATCGTCTTATTTACTAACAGAACTAGAGCTGGTTGTCGCAAATCTACTGCAATTTTTTTTGTGTTTCTTAAAAAAAAACATTAATTACTACACTCGACTTTAATAATAATATTTAGATTTACTAATTGTTGCTAATTTTTTGTCAGTTAAACATTAAATTAAGTTAAAACATTAATTTAATGCACTTGACTTTATTTTTATTTCACCGGTCAAATAAACTATGGTTTACAGTAACGAATGTTACCGAAACTCAACGAACATTACCCAATAATTTCCGACGCTATATCGTGATTTTACCCTAATTTTCTGTCTTCTTTCAAATTTTGAGTAGTTTCCGTGTATTACTTTAAGCTTATTTTGATTTTTAAAAAAACTACCGGTTTATTGATAATATGAAACAGGTACAATTTAAAATTTACATAAATGCATTGTTGTACATTAGGTACATACTGAATTTATTGTAACGACATTATTTTATAACAAGCTAGAGGCTTAAACTTAATGTAAATCTTGACATGTTGTTAATCAACCACTTACTTCTGACCATATTATACATATTCAATTGTTTGAGAGAAAAATGGAACACGTTCAGATGTGGAATTTTTTTGTTCGTTTCAACAGTGCACCTCTTGTAAAGGTAGTCTTCTCCGTATAGTGCGCACTGCAGTGTTTTGTACTCAAATCATTAGCTTCAAGTCAGCACACACCAACATACCACATTAACACATCACAGAACCTCATCAACGTCACACCAACACCACATTGAAACCACACCAACCATAGTGCTGACCACTTCATATGCCGAGGTTACAGAAACAGGTGAACTCTACTGCACTTGCCCCATGGATCATCTGGTCAGAGGCGTAGCTACCCTTCCCGGCACCCGGGGACAAACTTTCGATTTGCAGCCCCCCCCCCCCCCCTCCAAAATTTCGATTTGCACCCGCTCAAGTTTTCAATTTATTTTTCCAACCCATTTTGGCGCCCCCCCCCCCCCCATCGCTACGCAAATGTGTGTCATCAAACGTTTGAGCCCCCCCCCCCCTCCCCTCTCTAAACATCATCACAAAATTCCTGAGATACCAAACCCTGTCTTCTTCTTCGTTCTTAATTTTTAGTGTTGGGAGGGATCGAGCCTTATCTGACAGAGGGATTGAACTCGAGACTTTTTTCGATATTATAAACCATGAGCTTTGCCGACTCGACCATGCTTCCATCACAATTAAGGATTACGTGTCAACTGGTTATGCGCCATTGACTCCGATTTCAGCCTGCTTTTCTTTTTGGATTTGCTTCCATAGCCTTTGTCCAACCAAGAACAAACTACAAAGCAGCAGTTGTTTGATTTTAGAGTTATCTCTCATCGAACTCTCTCGAACTCGAGACTTTTCGGTTTAGCAACCATGAGCTTTACCGACTCGACCACCTCCAAACCCTGTCAATGTTGGTCCTCCATGACACCTAAGTCAGTAGTTTAGGTCATTAGGTTGGTCATGACACCTTAGTCAGTAGTTTAGGTCATTAGGTTGGTCATCCATGACACCTAAGTCAGTAGTTTAGGTCATTAGGTTGGTCATGACACCTTAGTCAGTAGTTTAGGTCATTAGGTTGGTCATCCATGACACCTAAGTCAGTAGTTTAGGTCATTAGGTTGGTCATGACACCTAAGTCAGTAGTTTAGGTCATTAGGTTGGTCATCCATGACACCTAAGTCAGTAGTTTAGGTCATTAGGTTGGTCATGACACCTTAGTCAGTAGTTTAGGTCATTAGGTTGGTCATCCATGACACCTAAGTCAGTAGTTTAGGTCATTAGGTTGGTCATGACACCTAAGTCAGTAGTTTAGGTCATTAGGTTGGTCATCCATGACACCTAAGTCAGTAGTTTAGGTCATTAGGTTGGTCAGCCATGACACCTAAGTCAGTAGTTTAGGTCATTAGGTTGGTCATCCATGACACCTAAGTCAGTAGTTTAGGTCATTAGGTTGGTCATGACACCTTAGTCAGTAGTGTAGGTCATTAGGTTGGTCAGCCATGAGACCTAAGTCAGTAGTTTAGGTCATTAGGTTGGTCATCCATGACACCTAAGTCAGTAGTTTAGGTCATTAGGTTGGTCAGCCATGACACCTAAGTCAGTAGTTTAGGTCATTAGGTTGGTCATCCATGACACCTAAGTCAGTAGTTTAGGTCATTAGGTTGGTCATCCATGACACCTAAGTCAGTAGTTTAGGTCATTAGGTTGGTCATGACACCTTAGTCAGTAGTTTAGGTCATTAGGTTGGTCATCCATGACACCTAAGTCAGTAGTTTAGGTCATTAGGTTGGTCATCCATAACTTAAGGCAGTAGTTTAGGTCATTAGGTTGGTCATCCATGAGACCTAAGTCAGTAGTTTAGGTCATTAGGTTGGTCATCCATGACAAGTAAGTCAGTAGTGTAGGTCATTAGGTTGGTCATCCATGAGACCTAAGTCAGTAGTTTAGGTCATTAGGTTGGTCATGACACCTTAGTCAGTAGTTTAGGTCATTAGGTTGGTCATGAGACCTAAGTCAGTAGTTTAGGTCATTAGATTGGTCATCCATGACACCTAAGCCAGTAGTTTAGGTCATTAGGTTGGTCATGACACCTTAGTCAGTAGTTTAGGTCATTAGGTTGGTCATCCATGACACCTAAGTCAGTAGTTTAGGTCATTAGGTTGGTCATCCATAACTTAAGGCAGTAGTTTAGGTCATTAGGTTGGTCATCCATGAGACCTAAGTCAGTAGTTTAGGTCATTAGGTTGGTCATGAGACCTAAGTCAGTAGTTTAGGTTATTAGGTTGGTCATCCATGAGACCTAAGTCAGTAGTTTAGGTCATTAGGTTGGTCATGAGACCTAAGTCAGTAGTTTAGGTTATTAGGTTGGTCATCCATGAGACCTAAGTCAGTAGTTTAGGTCATTAGGTTGGTCATGAGACCTAAGTCAGTAGTTTAGGTTATTAGGTTGGTCATCCATTACACCTAAGTCAGTAGTTTAGGTCATTAGGTTGGTCATGAGACCTAAGTCAGTAGTTTAGGTCATTAGGTTGGTCATCCATGACACCTAAGTTAGTAGTTTAGGTCATTAGGTTGGTCATGACACCTAAGTCAGTAGTTTAGGTCATTAGGTTGGTCATCCATGAGACCTAAGTCAGTAGTTTAGGTCATTAGGTTGGTCATCCATGACACCTAAGTCAGTAGTTTAGGTCATTAGGTTGGTCATGACACCTAAGTCAGTAGTTTAGGTCATTAGGTTGGTCATCCATGACAAGTAAGTCAGTAGTTTAGGTCATTAGGTTGGTCATCCATGACACCTAAGTCAGTAGTTTAGGTCATTAGGTTGGTCATGAGACCTAAGTCAGTAGTTTAGGTTATTAGGTTGCAGTAATGATAGACAGCATACACTTTCTACCAGGCTAGACTATATAAGAGATGAAGCTGTTATAGATGTTTAAAATCTTTTAATTTCCACTAATACCTTTATTAAAAATTTACTATTTCAAGGCTCAAGAACTAAATAAAGTCATTAAAGAAGTCAAGCTTATGACTGTGTAATGTGAGACATTATTATCAACAATGATTGTAAGCTGTAAAACTGAGGTAGGTAGTTAGATAAATGGATAACTAATTGTTCAAAACTGTTAATATCTTTGTATATTGACTTTAATTTGTATCTATTTCATTTATTTATGTTACATATTATTTATGTATGTTCTAAATATAAAACAAATGAAACCATAAAATCCTGGTGGCATCAGGTGAAATAAATATGTTGAGCTGTAGGTCTGCGGGTCAGTATGGTCTAGTGGTAGAGTAGTTGGTACATATTCTGAAGCTGAGTTAAATACATATTGTGTAGGTGGTGGGGGGGGGGGGGTATAGGAAGATAAAAATGGAAGTGTGTTGTAATGAAATCTAGCGAATTCTAAATTCTTTCTTTCATTCTAATGTTAGTAGACATTATGAAGTGCAGGAGAAAAAATAGAATTTTGAGTAGATAACACAGATACAATTATATAGTCCCAAGAATCCACATTTTGGTAAAAAAAAATAGTTGAATGTGAATTAAGACAGATTACTCTAGACTGAACATATGCTTGACTTTCTATACAATGTTTACCACATTATTGAAAGGTATTTGCAAAATAGTAAGTTAATATATATGTAATTCTTCCGTATACTCTATACAAATCTATGTTTCATTAGATATGAAGGTAGAGGCAACTGAAAATATTGTTGTAAAGTAATTTGCTTTTATTCCTTTATGTAAAGCTTCTAGTTTGATTTAAATGAATAATGAATGTTGTTAGCTGGGTTGTATTTTGTGTTGTCAATGTAGGAAACATAAAAACATGTACCAACACTGATGAAACAAACTAATTCAATTGTATTTTGTTTAACAATTACTACATTTTTCTATTGTTTCTTGCATATTTTTTTTTTAACGATTGCTACATTTTTCTATTGTTTCTTGTATATTTTTTTTTAACGATTGCTACATTTTTCTTTTGTTTCTTGTATATTTTTTTTTTAACGATTGCTACATTTTTCTATTGTTTCTTGTATATTTTTTTTTTAACGATTGCTACATTTTTCTATTGTTTCTTGTATATATTTTTTTTAACGATTGCTACATTTTTCTATTGTTTCTTGTATTTTTTAGACCAAGAATTTGCAATGATTGTGATCCGGAGAGATGTGAACTAAAATATATCCTCTTGTAGATACCAGAGAGATGTGAACTAAAATATATCCTCTTGTAGATACCAGAGAGATGTGAACTAAAATATATCCTCTTGTAGATACCAGAGAGATGTGAACTAAAATATATCCTCTTGTAGATACCAGAGAGATGTGAACTAAAATATATCCTCTTGTAGATACCAGAGAGATGTGAACTAAAATATATCCTCTTGTAGATACCAGAGAGATGTGAACTAAAATATATCCTCTTGTAGATACCAGAGAGATGTGAACTAAAATATATCCTCTTGTAGATACCAGAGAGATGTGAACTAAAATATATCCTCTTGTAGATACCAGAGAGATGTGAACTAAAATATATCCTCTTGTAGATACCAGAGAGATGTGAACTAAAATATATCCTCTTGTAGATACCAGAGAGATGTGAACTAAAATATATCCTCTTGTAGATACCAGAGAGATGTGAACTAAAATATATCCTCTTGTAGCTTGAACAAAATCTTGTCGCTGGACTCAATAGACAGCTAGACCAGATTTTTTTACCATCTGTATTTGGGTTGTGGAGTCTGATATTATTTGTTTGGGATTATCTCCTCTTTACTTTTAAAGTTTTGGTTACAATATATTATATGGTTGTGGTAATATTTATAGTTCAATATTTTTGTTGTTGCTAGAACTGTTGGGCCTATGAAACAGTCTGAAAAGTATATGTGTATTAGTTTATGTTTTACGATAATTTTTTATAAACACATGTTAAAATTAAAAGTATATACCATAAGGTTTCTATTTCTGAGAGATGTGTTTTTAAAGCAGTAAATTTGAGATTATTTAAAACAAGTCGAGACTAAATTAATTGTGTAATAATTCAACCAGTTTGTTTATTATGGCTGGTGCATTGTGCACTATCATTTCATTTTCTTAAAGCAAAGCAAAGTGCATATGTATTGCATCCCTTAATCCCCAGAAGGATGCAAAATAAGAACAACTCCCCATCTTTCTACTCCATTAAAACATTTCAACCTGTGGTACTGACATCTGTCTCATCATGTTCTTAGCTACCATACTCCTCATTAAAACATTTCAACATGTGACATCTGTCTCATCATGTTCTTAGCTACCATACTCCTCATTAAAACATTTCAACCTGTGGTACTGACATCTGTCTCATCATGTTCTTAGCTACCATACTCCTCATTAAAACATGTCAACATGTAATACTGACATCTGTCTCATCATGTTCTTAGCTACCATACTCCTCATTAAAACATTTCAACATGTGACACTGACATCTGCATCATCATGTTCTTAGCTACCATACTCCTCATTAAAACATTTCAACATGTGACATCTGTCTCATCATGTTCTTAGCTACCATACTTCTCATTATAACATGTCAACATGTAATACTGACATCTGTCTCATCATGTTATTAGCTACCATACTCCTCATTAAAACATTTCAACATGTGACATCTGTCTCATCATGTTCTTAGCTACCATACTCCTCATTAAAACATTTCAACATGTGATACTGGTCTCATCATGTTCTTAGCTACCATACTCCTCATTATAACATTTCAACATGTGACATCTGTCTCATCATGTTCTTAGCTACCATACTCCTCATTAAAACATTTCAACATGTGACACTGACATCTGTCTCATCATGTTCTTAGCTACCATACTCCTCATTAAAACATTTCAACATGTGACATCTGTCTCATCATGTTCTTAGCTACCATACTCCTCATTAAAACATTTCAACATGTGACACTGACATCTGCATCATCATGTTCTTAGCTACCATACTCCTCATTAAAACATTTCAACATGTGACATCTGTCTCATCATGTTCTTAGCTACCATACTCCTCATTAAAACATTTCAACATGTGACATCTGTCTCATCATGTTCTTAGCTACCATACTCCTCATTAAAACATTTCAACATGTGATACTGACATCTGTCTCATCACGTTCTTAGCTACCATACTCCTCATTAAAACATTTCAACATCTGTCTCATCATGTTCTTAGCTACCATACTCCTCATTAAAACATTTCAACCTGTGACATCTGTCTTATCATGTTCTTAGCTACCATACTCCTCATTAAAACATTTCAACAACACTGACATCTGTCTCATCATGTTCTTAGCTACCATACTCCTCATTAAAACATTTCAACATGTGTTACTGACATCTGTCTCATCATGTTCTTAGCTACCATACTCCTCATTAAAACATTTCAACATGTGATACTGACAACTGTATCATCATGTTCTTAGCTACCATATTCCTCAAGCTACATCTTGTAAACATTTTTTGTTAAAAAAGTTTAATATTAATATGGGCATGTTGATTGGTATTCGCTTATAAAATTGTTTCTGTCTTATGCTTACTGAATTCTCTCCCATGGATTGTTGTATTATTTTGTTTTTTTTAGCTAGAGGGTTGAGTAAATTTTAGCAAAAATCAGTATATTATGTGTATTTTATGTGTGTCTGTAGGTTTGCATTATGTTTCATTATCATCTTTAATACAGAAATTGTGGTTTAAGCATTGAGTTTAAATGAATTGATAATATATATATATATATATAAATATATATATATATATATATATATATATATATATATATATATATATATATATATATATATATATATATATATATATATATATATATATATATATATATATATATATATTACATATAGGGTTAAAGTTATCTATAGCATAATATTTTACATAAATAGATTATTCTTGTAATTAATGTTAAGACTTAGCCTTTTAAAAATACAAAATTATTTATACATTATTTTTTGATAAAGCAACATACTTTCAACAATGAAATCTACTCTTTCCAATTGTAAAATGGGCTTTGTACCATGGTGTTTTGTCTCAGTACATGTCCCAGAACATTCTATCTGTATGTAAAGTTTACATTGTGTGCAATTTCAAGGTGCCCAGAAAAAAGTGCAATCAGAAAACAGGGCAATTACAAGCGTATTACACCAACACACTTTAATATTGTCAGATTTTGTGGAATTATGTTTTATTATGTTATAATGCACCTAGTCACTTTTTATTAATGCCTATTAATACTCAATTTAAGAAAACAAAATGCCCTTTTGTGCCCAGTTTTCCATTGTGCATATTTCCGGTCACCCAATTTCAATTCAGTATACCATGGTTGTATTATTAAATGAATTGAAATAATAATTACCATTTGCTCAATATTAACTAAACAGTATACATTTACAATATATACATTTGTTTCATACTTAAGTTTAGTAACAAATGTTACATTGTAAACTATTAATTTATTTAAGAAGTTTAAAAAATAAAAAAATGTACTAGAAGTTTTATATTTTATTTAAAAAGTGCATGTTTGGGTATGAAAAAAGGTTATAGGTTAATTAAGAATTCATATCTTATATGTTGGTGATGAACTGTTTGAATATTATTTTTAAACATTTACATTCAGTTGCATATCTTAACTAAACAACTTGCTTTAAAAAAAAGAGAAGCGAAACATTTAGATAAATAAAACTGGAAACTTTAATTTATAAAAAAAAATGTAATGAAAATGAAATTTTTCTAAATATTCAATTTAATACAAGAGTTAGCAGAACAATTTTGGTTACAAAAAGTGCTAGATTACTAATTAGCTTTTTGCTAGCTGTAAAAAGTCTGCCAGTCTGAGCCACCCTTTCACACTGTATCACACAAAAATTATTATTTTTTTACAAGCGGATGGGAGGGGGCAGTGACAGTGGCATTTTTCTAAAACATGGTACTTGTAGGTTTTTTAAGTTATTTCAGATCACAATATTTACCCACAGTAAGAAAAAAATAAACAGCATGTTAAAAATAGTCTCATTAAAAAGTTGAAAAAATGTATTTGTTGGTTTCTTTACTTCATGTGAATAACGTGAACAAATATTTAAAAAACTAACTGAATTCTGCTATTCAATAATTTGCTTTATTTTCAGCTTTTCTAAAAATCAATTTCACATTAAACTTTAATTTGTTGAAAAATGATGCTGTAGGAAAGTAGATACATTTTTTATTACATTGGTACTACAAGAAAACTCTAAGACATCTATTCTTAATTATGTAAACAATTTTAATTTTTTTTTTTTATATCAAAGCCAGTTTAAAAAAATTTCAGAACATAATTTTCTTTTTAAATCTCAAAGTTTGAAATAAATAGGTGATAAATTTTTGACTTACATAATGGTATAGATTAGTGAACTGTTATTTTATGTATCTGTATAGCTCAAACTTGTTGCCACCAAACATTTCAATTTTTTTTTTAGAAACAAGCACAAAAGTAAATCCCAATTGATTAACACATCCATAAGAAACTACAAACATTGTCAAAAACTGAATATTTATAACTAGTGAGCTTGACAAGAATTATGAATGGAATAAATGTATGGTGGAACAAGGAGTTATGGAAAAATGATATTCATATTACATATCACATATCTGAAAATATTTGTTAAGAAAAATAATGTGTAATAAATATTTACAATGGTTTACTAACTTGAGACAGGTACCCATTAGAGCTGGGTGAACTTCAAAACATTTTACAGAGTAGTACCCGGATTTGAACTGGTTTCTATAATTACAACTAAAAACTACTGACCAACCAGAATGTATATGTGTAGGTCCATTGAGGGTCAACAGGTTATTACTGCCCACAATATGTTCTTGACCGCCAGCCGGACAACTTTGAACCAACTTGGTGAGGGAGTGGCAACAGGATGGAGCACTTTGACGGCAACTCATAAAGACACATAAAGAACACTGGTCAGTTGAAGAAAGATGCCGGTTACTGATTCAAGGTAGAATACGTCTGGAAAACAGTTATCAAAGTTTTATGTAGAAACAGATTAAACTCTTATTTGAAGGAACAATATTGATAAGGCATTTTATAGAAAAACTTTTTAAACTATGAGAAAATATAAAAGAAATAAAAATGTTTTTAAAAGTACAGCAGCTTTAAAAAATAAAATTCAAATGTTGATTGAATCAAGATTTGAACAAACCTCTAAGTCTAATCTTATTCTAACACACTAACACATTTTCCACATCATCACTACTACAAACCAAAAACCCTACCTATCACTACTACAAACCAAAAACCCTACCTATCACTACTACAAACCAAAAACCCTACCTATCACTACTACAAACCAAAAACCCTACCTATCACTACTACAAACAAAAAACCCTACCTATCACTACTACAAACCAAAAACCCTACCTATCACTACTACAAACCAAAAACCCTACCTATCACTACTACAAACCAAAAACCCTACCTATCACTACTACAAACCAAAAACCCTACCTATCACTACTACAAACCAAAAACCCTACCTATCACTACTACAAACCAAAAACCCTACCTATGACTACCATACCGCATTTTAAGCATCCCCAGTTTCATTTGTAAGTCTATGATTTTGGCTTGCTGTTCCACCAATTCTTGCATAAGTTTGTAATTCTGAGGAGATGCATCAAATAGCTGGTTAGTTACACTTAATGGCAGAGATTTGCTAGATGGCCCCTTAATTCGCATCAGATATGTAAAACATACTAACTTGTTGCTGTAGATTGAAACGTTCTTCCTCTTCTGCATTTCTTGTAAGTTTCAGTACAATTTTCTTGAGGATCCAGCTACTAGAAATAGTCAAAAAATTACAAGACACCATTCACACTTCAGAATACTCATACTACATATTACAAATAGATGATATGTGTCTCAAACACCACTCACATCACACACACATTTGTGAACCCGACACAAAATGTTAATAAAACAAGAAAAACTTTTTTTACTATATATTCTATTAACCCACATCCTGCCTGCGTCCCACTTATGGTACTCTTGAAAAACTAAATATTAAAATTTGTTAAAAACTAGTTTAAAGCTAGCATGAAAGCTTTTACGTTATTAAAGTACCATAGGAAACCGGGGCAATCGCTGGTTTGGGTTATTCAACGAATGTAGAGGCGCAACATGTCCCGTATGTTCTAGTGCTTTGTGTCATCCGTACGCCTGGAATGTCAGATGCCACCTGTTGTGTTTTGAGCGTTGAATCAAGTAAAGCCCCTTACTCAACAGGACACCTAATCAATGGATCTCGCGCCCTAGGGTAGCCACAAGGTCACTTGTTGCGCTCAATCATTACACCTTCCGAGGCACATGTGGACACCCCTTTTTTTGATTCAGTGACACTTGAAAGTAAGTAAAGCTAATAATAATACTATATATATATATATATATATATATATATATATATATATATATATATATAAAGAATATTTTAAAAAAAACTTTACCAAAGCACCATCCCCAAAAGGATTAAATTGAATAAACTGTATTCAACAGTCACGATGAGTCTTATTGACTTATCTTCAGCGCTGTTGTAGTTGTATTTGTAGACAGTTGTTGTCACATTTTCCAACAATGCATCGAGTGTTGTGTATCTTGCATCTGAAAAGCAAAAAAAAAAGAAAAAATATTGTCTGTCTGCCTGCACGATATTTATTATTATAAAAGCAAAATGGTTGAAGTTTGTGTGCTTTCTTCTGTGTTTGTGTTTTGTTGCGTTCCCAAGTTGGTACATTTAAAAAAGGATTCACCGCATAGGAGCATGGGTATGTATCTATAAAATCAAAGCGGGTGATGTTTGGTTTGTTTGTTATATCTATTAGATCGGGTACTTGCAGGGGAATTGTTCACTCGTTTTTTAACGGGAAAATTTGGGTCATCTCAATAATCGAGTTTAAAGTGACCGAAAAGTGGCCTAACCTGATCAGAGCCTTATATAAACTATATAGATCTATAAAGTGTTTGAATTAGATCGACCACTTTCAGATGAGACAAAAAGTTGATATTTGGTGAGGCACCTGGAAAAATACTAGATTTACAAAAATGTCTTATAAATGGGTTAATAATAAAACGATTTTACTCCTCAATTTTAGATATTAAAGGACCATAAAATTGTCGGAAAATTAAACTGTTTATTTCTCCCGTTCTTTGACTACCCACAAAAAAAAAGGAAGAAAACATTTGGATACAAAATTATTTTGTTTTTCTAAATATGTTTTTCTAAAATTTATACCAAACTGTTTTCAAATATGTGTGAAAATTAATCGGGTGTGGGGAAATTGCGAGACGCGAAAAGCGAAATGGCGAGGCGGGAAAATGCGAGAAGGGCGCGAAAACGGTCGGTCACGTGACTTTTTTGTCTCGCATTTTACCACAACCCGATACTTACGCTGGGTGGTGTTGAAATGCGAAGATTTCTGCGAAAAATTTACCGCACCCGATTTTCAGTGGTATTTGGTCCAGACTTCAAAGACGTTTCGTTTACATTGTTAAAACTTCCGATTTTTCCGTCGCTAGACATACTGATGATTTGTCAACTCCCCCCCCCCCCCCCCCCCCATCTTTTGTGTCGACTTAGAATACCACCTTGTTCGAAACCGACGGAAATACCACCGACGATAGATCAACTTCTTTCTTTTGCGTGGAACGCCGAAGCCGCCGAAACCGTCTTTGAAGATCGCCATGCCCAGCTACCGAACGTGACGTCGCAGCCATTGAACGTGATGGCGCAGCTATTGAACGTGATGACGCGTGTGCTGTGGTTGCATAAAATGCCTAATAATTTGGTCCAAATTTTAATTAATTCAAACATTTTTTTGTGACCAAACGAAAGGATATTTTTGAAAACTTTCTTCGGCAATATTGTTCTAAATTATGGCAGGAATCGATTGGTACATGTTTCAAGTCGCTAAGTGGTCTGGTTGCCGAGATATGGGCCAAAAACTGCATTTTTTCGAGGTGTTTTGGCTTTTCCGGGAAATCCATGAAAGAAACCCGGAATTTTTATGGCCTATGTTCATCCTCGTAACTTGCTTAACATAATTGTTTTTGAAACTAGTCATCGATATTGCTTCGTTGAGGAGGAGATACGACTCGACTTAAAGCTGCGGACACACATCCATACATTCATCCATCCATCCATCCATCCAGAAATGACGGGTTAATAAACGCAATTCTCCAGAATGGAAATTGCGCTAAAAAGCAATGTTAGAAAAAGAATTTTAGACGTTTTTCGCGTTTTAGAAAACTGTTTTCATAAATTGTAATAGGAATTGATTAAAATACAGAAATTAGACAGGATTTGGGGAAAATATCGATGTTTTAAAAAACAAGTTAATTAAAAAGTCTAGTGACATTTAAGCGCAATTTCCTTATGTTATCTAAAAATAGCTCTGTCGTAGCGTAAATCAAGAGCAGGGTTAGTAAGACCATTGGTTAAAATACATGTTTTATTTACAATAGAGTTACATGACTAAAAACCATTGCGCGCCTAGCTACTGAACGTGATGACGCAGCCATTGAACGTGATGGCGCAGCTATTGAACGTGATGACGCGTGTAGTGTGGTTGGAAAAAATGCCTACTAATTCGGTCAAAATTTTAATTAATTCAAACAAAATTTTGTGACCGAACGAAAGGATATTTTTGAAAACTTTCTTCGGCAATATTGTTCTAAATTATGACAGGAATCGATTGGTACATGTTTCAAGTCGCTAAATGGCTTGGTTGCCGAGATATGGGCCAAAAACTGCATTTTTGCGAGGTTTTTTGGCTTTTCCGGGAAATCCATGAAAGAAACCCGGAATTTTTATGGCCTATGCTCATCCTCGTAACTTGCTTAACATAATTGCTTTTGGAACTAGTCCTCGATATTGCTTCGTTGAGGAGGAGATACGACTTAAAGCTGCGGACACACATTCATACATTCATTCATCCATCCATCCATCCATTCATCCATCCAGAAATGACGGGTTAATAAACGCAATTCTCCAGAATGGAAATTGCGCTAAAAATTCAACTGCAATTTTGAGGGGGGTTGTAGACTAAGGTGTGACGTCATTTTAGTGGGAGGGGGGGTCTGGATTTTTGTGAAAATGTGTGACGGAGGGGAGGGGGAGGGGGGTAAAAATCGTCATTTAGGGATGACCCCTTTTAGCTATTAAATGGTAGTTTTGTCCATAGCGGACTTTATTCAGATTATCTACAGACGCACATTTTTTTTCATTCTGTTCATATTCGTGTTCTGTGTTAGCACAGTATAAATGGGAGTCTATTGAACTGGTGGGTTTGATGTACTATGTGTGAAAGATGGTGTCACGAGGTGTGTTTGAGTAGTGCTAGGACTGTTTCAGAAGATTTTGTTTGTAAATTTTGTTTGTAATTAAAATTACTTAATAAAAAATAAATTACACTTTTAAGAATTGTTTATACTTTTACACTTTTTGCAAGTACAACAATCCATGAATACATGTTGCAGAATATCTCTCCTGCTGACAAAATTATACCAATTCACAATGACACAGCTCACGTTTGTATAAACATGAGCGGGCTAGATTTTTAAAATTAATGCCAACTGAAACGGGATTTTCCTCTCGCTAACGAGAGCGGGCGATGACAGTAGCACAGCAACGATGTTAGGATTTTATAATAGATCTAGATCTAGATATAGATCTATCTATCTTCTTAGTATCTATATATATATATATATATATATATATATATATATATATATATATATATATATATATATATATATATATATATATATAATAAAATCTAGATAAAAAATAACAACACAGAACACTCGTGTTAAAGGGTATGGCTACATGCTAGTTTATTTTAAAACAAAAAAATATAATTTAAATAAATAAAGATGAAATAAGCATGAAAAAAAACTTTTTTTCGCAAAAAGTGTCTCGCTATTTACCCTTGATTCCGCAGGTATGTCTCGCATGATCTTCTCGCATTTTCCCGCCTCGCCATTTCGCTTTTCGCGTCTCGCAATTTCCCCACACCCAAATTAATCAGTTGTAACACGTTTGACCACTCAATTATTCATTCATATTATCTTTTAATTTCCCCAGTTCTTTGATTACACGAAAAATGAACATGTTGATAAAAGAAAAAAAAAATCCAATAAAATTTATTCAACACAACTATCATATTGGTGTTAAAAACCATCTTGCAGAATTGACCTTTGAGGAAGCCACATGCATTACTTGCAAAACTTTTTGAAAAAAATTAGATCTAGAATCTACATCTAGATCTAGATTCTAGTTCCTCTAACAAAAAACATTATTTATTTAATATATTGTGATAATTAATTAGATCTAATTTAAAGTACTTAACATACATTAATGATTAAAGCAGTCACTGATATTTTTTTGAGCTCAAGGCTAGATCTAGATTTCTATTTACAAATAGCTTTTATATCTAGAAAATCTAGCAAGATCTAGACATCTCTAGATTCTAGATCTAGATCTAGATCTACGTTCCAACAGATAGATAAATATTAGATCTAATATATAGATCTAGCTCTAGATAGATAGTCAGACAGCGAAACTATTAGTAGGTCTAGATCTATACATTTACCGATTGATAAACATTACCTGTTGTGAAAAAGAAAAAAAACAAAAAAGTTAGGACTAAAAACGTGCCCATTTTGGTCAAACTTGCGTGGATGCTGAAGCACCGGTGTTGACAGTGCACACTGCTCGCCAGTGACGGGAAAATCCAATAAGTTGTTGATGTGCAAAAAAATTTTGTAACCTTTGTACACCTTTAACATGGCTAAGGACAGTATCACACCGAAAAATTTCGCCAAAAAAAAAGTATTATATAGATCTAGATCTATATACATATAGGCCTACATTTTTACTATAATGGTTATATTCAAACAAGTAGGCCTATAAAACAGCATATAAATTAGATCCTATATAAGATGCGAAAAATAAACTACAATAGATAAAAATAATCCCTTTTGCTAATTTTCCGCAAAAAAGGTTATATTTTGAAAACTGTAGACTTAACTTTCCAATAAACTTGAGTCGAATTGTTTATATTCTTTGCATCAGAATTTCTTTGTGATTATACTTTAAAATCTTTGAATTTTTTAAACGGGCAAAACCAACTCAAAGAAGCTTTATTATATTTAGTTGTTCCCCCCTCTTTCATTGACTCTGACATATAATTTACAGCGTCAGTTTACGTTGTCATGTTCGCTTCAGTATTTCAGTTTTCATCATCGGCTTGTGAGGACTGATACAGATTTATAGTAATAATCCTTCTTCTGACATGTTGCTTCTTTCATTAATTGAGGATGGTTTACCTAGGCCTATACATAATTTTTAAGTCTAATTTCAATTTTTTCTTTCAACGTAGGTCTACTGCTGCGAGAAGTAAGTATAACTGTAACTTGATTGTCACCAGTTTCCTGTAAACATTTTTCTCCGAGTGAGGTTGGAGGGGGGGGGGGGGGCGACATTTACAAATTTCGGAAGGTGGGGGGGGGAAGGGCACGTGCGTGAATGAAACTATTATTATCAAAATGACGGATTGATAAGTTGAGAAGACTTGACACTTGGAAAAGGTCGACATAACACACATATATATTGACACTTGGAAAAGGTCGACATAGCACACATATATATTGAGACTTGGAAAAGGTCGACATAGCACACTTATACAGCCAAAAAAACAGCTATCCAGCGACAATTTTCTTAAGTTTCCCGTTGGTGTTGTCTTGTCCATATACCTTAACGGCTTGCACTACCACTAAACACATTTTTGTTTCAAAGTAACCACAATCATAGCACAATCATAGCACAATCATAGCACAACCATAGCACAATCATAGTTATGATCCTAATAACAATACAAATAATAATTATTAAGTAGAAGTTGCTTTAATGTCGTGCTTGAATCATTTTGTAGCGAAAGGGAAGCAACTGCAATTTTATCATTGCTTTAATGTTTAGCACTTTTTGCGTCCCTTAGTACCAGTTAAAATAACTTGTAAGTTGTAAAGTACCCGATCTAATAGATATAACAAACAAATCAAACATCACCCGCTTTGATTTTATAGATACAGATAAACTCGTTGCATACCCATGCTCCTATGCGGCGACCCTTTTTTAAATGTACCAACTTGGGAAGGCAACAAAACTAAACACAAACACAGAAGAAAACACAAACTTCAACCACTTTGCTTTTATAATAATAAATATCGTGCAGACAGACAGACAATATTGTTTTTTTTTTTTTTTTTTTTTTGCTTTTCAGATGCAAGATACACAACAATCGATGCATTGTTGAAAAATGTGTAAAATCCTTATACCTATTAACGTTAATATTTATAACAACTGCATGGGGCGGCGTGGCCTAAGTGGTAGAGCGCTCGACTGCTAACCAGAAAGTCTCGGTATCAAATCCAGGTCCAAGTCAATAGCACATCATTGAGTCCACCCAGTACTGATAGGTACCCAACCCATATCAGGGAGAGCAATAGTAGCTGGGGAAATGCTGACCCCAACTTCAATTCATCTGACGAGATCAAGAAACATATGAACTCCACTTCATCTTCACAATGGTCTAAAAATGATTCTTTAGATGACAACTATAAGATTAATAATTTAAATAAGAAGCCACATGCCACATTTGTAAATGTAATCATAACAATTACCTACATATGCGTTGGATTACATGTCGAGATACGCGAACAATATTACATTGTATAAAAATAAAATCAATTATCCATTGGGATAAATTGGGATAGCTAAAGTGATTCATCTCTGATGACGTGATCAAGTGTCGTATCTTTCATCATTTATATATTTTGTCTGTTGTCATACTTCTATATTTTGTCTGTTGTCATACTTTTATATTTGGTGTATTAAATCATGCCTCTATATTTTGTGTATTAAATCACGCCTCTATATTTTGTGAATTAAATCATGCCTCTATATTTTGTGTTATATTAAATCATGCCTCTATATTTTGTGTTATATTAAATAATGCCTCTATATTTTGTGTATTATTAAATCATGCCTCTATATTTTGTGTATTAAATCATGCCTCTATATTTTGTGTATTATTAAATCATGCCTCTGTATTTTGTGTATTATTAAATCAAGCCTCTATATTTTGTGTATTAAATCATGCCTCTATATTTTGTGTATTATTAAATCATGCCTCTATATTTTGTGTATTATTAAATCAAGCCTCTATATTTTGTGTATTAAATCATGCCTCTATATTTTGTGTATTATTAAATCATGCCTCTATATTTTGTGTATTATTAAATCAAGCCTCTATATTTTGTGTATTAAATCATGCCTCTATATTTTGTGTATTATTAAATCATGCCTCTATATTTTGTGTATTATTAAATCAAGCCTCTATATTTTGTGTATTAAATCAAGCCTCTATATTTTGTGTATTATTAAATCAAGCCTCTATATTTTGTGTATTAAATCAAGCCTCTATATTTTGTGTATTATTAAATCAAGCCTCTATATTTTGTGTATTAAATCAAGCCTCTATATTTTGTGTATTATTAAATCAAGCCTCTATATTTTGTGTATTAAATCAAGCCTCTATATTTTGTCTATTAAGTCCTACTTAAGTACACCAGATTCGAGAAGAAGGGGTAATTGTAAAGTCGATGTAATCATACTAAAATCATTACAAAAAAATTATGATTCCATTAAAAAAAAAGCCATTTAAGAACAATCATTTGCATATTTTTGTATTGAATATAAGCCGTAGAAAAACTGTTTAGAATTATGTGATCATTGTGTTGTGTGGGTTATGTAATCAGCTTTTACACATTGACATTTACGCCATAAACTCAAAACAAAATAAACGGAAAAGGTTATTCATGCTGCAAATTACTATGTTTTATTTAATAAAGATGAAAACATGAATGACTCTAAAGAACCTTTAGTTCATTTTTAGTTCATTTCAATTTTTAAACATATATATAAACACATGCTTAAATGAAACGTTTATTAAAACGAAATGAAATGATGTTATCGCCAAATTCTTCAGTAAGGCATCGATCGGGAAAATAAATGATATAATACAATGTTGTAAAAACATTTTAAAGTTATGAAATTTTCAAACATTTTGAGACTCCTTCTGGTTACCTGAACAGATGACAGAAATCTACGTACAGGAGTTTATATCCATGTAAAATCTAATTGAATGTAATTTCGAACAAAACAACAGACTATAGACCAACACAACCCCTCATCTCCAATACCTATCTAAACAACGATCAACAAAAACAATAAAACGCCAATCACAAACATGCTGAAAACAATCCCATCTGCAGACTTTTTTTCTGCTGCCCTGTAAGTACAGAATACATTGTTACCATTGTACACAGATAAACTCATATATATATATATATATATATATATATATATATATATATATATGTATATATATATATATATATATATATATATATATATATATATATATATATATATATATATATATATATATATATATACGAGATACATTAGACAGAAGAAAGGCAGGTTAGGAGATAGTTTGGTTGAAATAAGGAGGATTTTAATTACATTTAGACCTACACAAATAAAAAAAAACAAAAAAAAAACTTACTTGTGGCCATCATCAGAAGACTCCTTACAATGACACGGTTTTGGTGTACTTTGCCTATAAATAGAGGAGAGATGTTTGCATTTATATATCGATACATCAATGATAAATATATTGTAAACTAAATTATACCAAAGAAAGGCGGGCTAACAGTTAGGTACGTGGATAGAAGGGCAACTAAATGTAATAATCTTTAGGCTTACATATTTGAAAACAAACTTACTCGTCTGCAGGAGGCTCCTCATCAGGTTCCCTAGCGATGTGAGTGGGCGGCCTGTAAAGAAAACAAGTTTGTACGTGACACAGTTTATATCGATACATACAAATGTAAAGGTATACATAATTAAGATAAATGAGACAAGAGGGAGGCCGGTAGGTGGATACAAAGAGACATAGGATTGGATACAAACTTAGACTTACAGTAGTAAGAAAACTTACTCTTTACAGCATTGATCTTTCCAGAGGTAGGTTGATACAAACTTAGACTTACAGTAGTAAGAAAACTTACTCTTTGCAGCATTGATCTTTCCAGAGGTAGGTTGATACAAACTTAGACTTACAGTAGTAAGAAAACTTACTCTTTACAGCATTGATCTTTCCAGAGGTAGGTTGATACAAAGAGACATAGGATTGGATACAAACTTAGACTTACATTAGTAAGAAAACTTACTCTTTACAGCATTGATCTTTCCAGAGGTAGGTTGATACAAACTTAGACTTACAGTAGTAAGAAAACTTACTCTTTGCAGCATTGATCTTTCCAGAGGTGGGTTGATACAAACTTAGACTTACAGTAGTAAGAAAACTTACTCTTTACAACATTGATCTTTCCAGAGGTAGGTTGATACAAACTTAGACTTACAGTAGTAAGAAAACTTACTCTTTACAGCATTGATCTTTCCAGATACCGCAACATCCGTGGGGACAATCAACGTAATGATGCGTTGCCAGATTAAAGGTAAACATCAGTCCTGACCCATAGCTCCAGTAGCTGGCCACATCATACAGGAGCAGACATTTTTCTGTGCTGACACCTGAAAGGGTGATAGAGAGATTTAGATACTGTTCCATCAGACATTTTCTCAGGACTAATGAGGACAAAATATCCTAGACATGATATCTTATGTACAAATGATCTCAGACACAATATCCTAGACAGAATATCTTATGGACAAATGATCTCAGACACAATATCCTAGATATAATATCTTATGGACAAATGATCAGATAAAATATCCTAGACAGAATATGTTATGGACAAATGATCTCAGACAAAATATCCTAGACAAAATACCTCAGGGCAAAATATCATTATGTACAAATAATATCCTGGACAAATGATATTCTGCACAAATGATATCAAGGACAAATATCAAGCACAAATGATATCAAGGACAAATATCAAGCACAAATGATATCATGGACAAAGGATATCAATGACTAATGATCTCCCATAAAATATCTCAGACATATTATTTTACGGCAAAATATTTATAGTATTTAACATGATTTTTATACGATTTGAACATTTTAAAAAATTCATTGTCATATTGTTTTGTATTTACCTTTTATTTTACACATAATAATGATGAGACTAGGTTTGTAACATTACGTTACACATTTTAAAATCGTAATTAGTAAAATAATATTCAGAGATTAAAAATAATTTTGATAGACAGTATAGGTCAGCTTGACGATGATGACAAAATCCGACCACATTAGTTGGACGAAACTAGATGAAAGGCGATCGCTTATCTATGAAAACTTCTTCAATGGTGGAGCCAGGTCCTAGGTATAAGATTTAATTTCGGTCGCAATTTTGTGATCAAGTGACTAATGCTTATTTGGATGACATTGGTCATTGTGAAACACATTATTTCGTAGTGTGCATACAAGAAGTGCAGTAGTGGTGGTGATTTCCTAACTATTATCTCTCAAGTTACATCACAGAAAGGCATCTGATGGACGCTGAACAAAAACCCAGCAAAGAAATGTTAGCCTTAAGTTTGTGTTGATGATGTAATGTAAACAAATGGTTCTACGTTACAAACCTGAATCAATAATCACGTTGTTGTAGTATGTCACGTGTTGTGAAAATTAATGTTGTATAACTTTTAGTATTTTATTTGTTTTATACGCTTCCGCTTATTGAACATTTCATTTAGAGTGGTTTTTTAAAAATGTTTAAACAGCAGATAAGGACATACTGACAATCAATTAAATATGATTGAATCGATTAACATCATTCAAAATATTTTAAATTATTTGCCGTGAGATTGTCTGTGATATTTTGCTTGGAATATGTTATCCATTTAAATACGATAAGATGGTTCTAATTTTCCAGTTCTATGAGAGTGGACAGCTAAACTTTTCAATAGCATTTTGTCTTTCCTGCAAATATCTGATTTAATAGGTGTGAGAAGCGAATAAATAAACAACCCCAATTTTTCGTTCATAGATCCAGATAACCATTTAATTTAACATATTAAAACGTACCCATAACGCTGTCGAATGCTGTTAGTGTATATATATATATATATATATATATATATATATATATATATATATATATATATATATATATATATATATGGGACGGAGTGGTCTACTAGCGGTAAAGAGCTGGACTGTTAACCCGTAAGGCTCGAGTTCGAATCCGGGTTCTAGTCAGTAGACCGTCCCTGAGTCCCCCCAACTCTGATGGGTAACTAACTCACGTTAGGGAAAGTAAAAGGCACTGGGCAGAGTGCTGACCACACTCTATCTTCATATGCTGAGGTCACAGACGCAAGTGAACCCTACTTCACTTGCCCCATAAACCGTCAGGTTTCAAAGAGAAACTTTACATATATATATATATATATATATATATATATATATATATATATATATATATATATATATATATATATATATATATGCATATATGTATAAATATATATATACATGAGGGTGTGTGTGTCAAAAGTGTCACCACACTCACACACAAGTTTAAAAATATTTCAATCTTTACATACCAGTAATCTGCAACAAGAGCATCAGGAGAACTAAACACAGTTTTTTTTTTAAATTTCCACGACAAGAGGTCATGTGATCAGCACCGTCGTTTACAGCTCCGTCTTTCACATCTGCTATCTGGCCGGCCGTCTGGGCATCTTCAAGCAATGTCATGGCACGCTCCTGGAAATAATTTATAACCAGGATTAGTTCGTCTTCGTCGTGTAGGGCTAGTAGCACTGCCGTCACCTTTGTCCCCAGGGTTAGTAGCACGGCCATAACCTTTGTCCCCAGGGTTAGTAGCACGGCCATCACCTTTGTCTAAAGGGTTAGTAGCACGGCCATCACCTTTGTCTAAAGGGTTAGTAGCACGGCCATCACCTTTGTCCCCACGGTTAGTAGCACGGCCATTACCTTTGTCCCCAGGGTTAGTAGCACGGCCATTACCTTTGTCCCCAGGGTTAGTAGCACGGCCATCACCTTTGTCTTCAGGGTTAGTAGCACGGCCATCACCTTTGTCCCCAGGGTTAGTAGCACGGCCATCACCTTTGTCTAAAGGGTTAGTAGCACGGCCATTACCTTTGTCTAAAGGGTTAGTAGCACGGCCGTCACCTTTGTCCCCAGGGTTAGTAGCACGGCCATCACCTTTGTCCCCAGGGTTAGTAGCACGGCCGTCACCTTTGCCCCAGGGTTAGTAGCACGGCCATCACCTTTGTCTAAAGGGTTAGTAGCACGGCCATTACGTTTGTCTAAAGGGTTAGTAGCACGGCCATCACCTTTGTCTAAAGGGTTAGTAGCACGGCCATCACCTTTGTCTAAAGGGTTAGTAGCACGGCCATCACCTTTGTCTAAAGGGTTAGTAGCACGGCCATCACCTTTGTCTAAAGGGTTAGTAGCACGGCCATCACCTTTGTCTAAAGGGTTAGTAGCACGGCCATCACCTTTGTCCCCACGGTTAGTAGCACGGCCATCACCTTTGTCTAAAGGGTTAGTAGCACGGCCATTACCTTTGTCTAAAGGGTTAGTAGCACGGCCATCACCTTTGTCTAAAGGGTTAGTAGCACGGCCATCACCTTTGTCTAAAGGGTTAGTAGCACGGCCATCACCTTTGTCCCCAGGGTTAGTAGCACGGCCATCACCTTTGTCCCCAGGGTTAGTAGCACGGCCATCACCTTTGTCCCCAGGGTTAGTAGCACGGCCGTCACCTTTGTCTAAAGGGTTAGTAGCACGGCCATCACCTTTGTCTAAAGGGTTAGTAGCACGGCCATCACCTTTGTCCCCAGGATTAGTAGCACGGCCATCACCTTTGTCTAAAGGGTTAGTAGCACGGCCATCACCTTTGTCCCCAGGGTTAGTAGCACGGCCATCACCTTTGTCCCCAGGGTTAGTAGCACGGCCATCACCTTTGTCTTCAGGGTTAGTAGCACGGCCATCACCTTTGTCCCCAGGGTTAGTAGCACGGCCATCACCTTTGTCTAAAGGGTTAGTAGCACGGCCATTACCTTTGTCTAAAGGGTTAGTAGCACGGCCGTCACCTTTGTCCCCAGGGTTAGTAGCACGGCCATCACCTTTGTCCCCAGGGTTAGTAGCACGGCCGTCACCTTTGCCCCAGGGTTAGTAGCACGGCCATCACCTTTGTCTAAAGGGTTAGTAGCACGGCCATTACGTTTGTCTAAAGGGTTAGTAGCACGGCCATCACCTTTGTCTAAAGGGTTAGTAGCACGGCCATCACCTTTGTCTAAAGGGTTAGTAGCACGGCCATCACCTTTGTCTAAAGGGTTAGTAGCACGGCCATCACCTTTGTCTAAAGGGTTAGTAGCACGGCCATCACCTTTGTCTAAAGGGTTAGTAGCACGGCCATCACCTTTGTCCCCACGGTTAGTAGCACGGCCATCACCTTTGTCTAAAGGGTTAGTAGCACGGCCATTACCTTTGTCTAAAGGGTTAGTAGCACGGCCATCACCTTTGTCTAAAGGGTTAGTAGCACGGCCATCACCTTTGTCTAAAGGGTTAGTAGCACGGCCATCACCTTTGTCCCCAGGGTTAGTAGCACGGCCATCACCTTTGTCCCCAGGGTTAGTAGCACGGCCATCACCTTTGTCCCCAGGGTTAGTAGCACGGCCGTCACCTTTGTCTAAAGGGTTAGTAGCACGGCCATCACCTTTGTCTAAAGGGTTAGTAGCACGGCCATCACCTTTGTCCCCAGGATTAGTAGCACGGCCATCACCTTTGTCTAAAGGGTTAGTAGCACGGCCATCACCTTTGTCCCCAGGGTTAGTAGCACGGCCATCACCTTTGTCCCCAGGGTTAGTAGCACGGCCGTCACCTTTGTCTAAAGGGTTAGTAGCACGGCCATCACCTTTGTCCCCAGGGTTAGTAGCACGGCCATCACCTTTGTCCCCAGGGTTAGTAGCACGGCCGTCACCTTTGTCTAAAGGGTTAGTAGCACGGCCATCACCTTTGTCCCCAGGGTTAGTAGCACGGCCATCACCTTTGTCCCCAGGGTTAGTAGCACGGCCATCACCTTTGTCCCCAGGGTTAGTAGCACGGCCATCACCTTTGTCTAAAGGGTTAGTAGCACGGCCATCACCTTTGTCCCCAGGATTAGTAGCACGGCCATCACCTTTGTCTAAAGGGTTAGTAGCACGGCCGTCACCTTTGTCCCCAGGGTTAGTAGCATGGCCATCACCTTTGTCCCCAGGGTTAGTAGCACGGCCGTCACCTTTGTCCCCAGGGTTAGTAGCACGGCCATCACCTTTGTCTAGAGGGTTAGTAGCACGGCCATAACCTTTGTCCCCAGGGTTAGTAGCACGGCTATCACCTTTGTCTAAAGGGTTAGTAGCACGGCCATCACCTTTGTCTAAAGGGTTAGTAGCACGGCCATCACCTTTGTCCCCAGGGTTAGTAGCACGGCCATCACCTTTGTCCCCAGGGTTAGTAGCACGGCCATCACCTTTGTCTAAAGAGTTAGTAGCACGGCCATCACCTTTGTCCCCAGGGTTAGTAGCACGGCCATCACCTTTGTCCCCAGGGTTAGTAGCACGGCCATCACCTTTGTCCCCAGGGTTAGTAGCACGGCCATCACCTTTGTCTAAAGGGTTAGTAGCACGGTCATCACCTTTGTCTAAAGAGTTAGTAGCACGGCCATCACCTTTGTCTAAAGGGTTAGTAGCACGGCTATCACCTTTGTCCCCAGGGTTAGTAGCACGGCCATCACCTTTGTCCCCAGGGTTAGTAGCACGGCCATCATCTTTGTCCCCAGGGTTAGTAGCACGGCCATCACCTTTGTCCCCAGGATTAGTAGCACGGCCATCACCTTTGTCTAAAGGGTTAATAGCACGGCCATCACCTTTGTCCCCAGGGTTAGTAGCACGGCCATCACCTTTGTCCCCAGGGTTAGTAGCACGGCCGTCACCTTTGTCACCAGGGTTAGTAGCACGGCCATCACCTTTGTCTAAAGGGTTAGTAGCACGGCCATCACCTTTGTCCCCAGGGTTAGTAGCACGGCCATCACCTTTGTCTAAAGGGTTAGTAGCACGGCCATCACCTTTGTCCCCAGGGTTAGTAGCACGGCCATCACCTTTGTCTAAAGGGTTAGTAGCACGGCCATCACCTTTGTCTAAAGAGTTAGTAGCACGGCCATCACCTTTGTCTAAAGGGTTAGTAGCACGGCCATCACCTTTGTCTAAAGGGTTAGTAGCACGGCTATCACCTTTGTCCCCAGGGTTAGTAGCACGGCCATCACCTTTGTCTAAAGGGTTAGTAGCACGGCCATCACCTTTGTCCCCAGGGTTAGTAGCACGGCCATCACCTTTGTCTAAAGGGTTAGTAGCACGGCCATCACCTTTGTCCCCAGGGTTAGTAGCACGGCCATCACCTTTGTCTAAAGGGTTAGTAGCACGGCCATCACCTTTGTCTAAAGAGTTAGTAGCACGGCCATCACCTTTGTCTAAAGGGTTAGTAGCACGGCCATCACCTTTGTCTAAAGGGTTAGTAGCACGGCTATCACCTTTGTCCCCAGGGTTAGTAGCACGGCTATCACCTTTGTCTAAAGGGTTAGTAGCACGGCCATCACCTTTGTCCCCAGGGTTAGTAGCACGGCCATCACCTTTGTCTAAAGGGTGAGTAGCACGGCCATCACCTTTGTCTAAAGGGTTAGTAGCACGGCCATCACCTTTGTCTAAAGGGTTAGTAGCACGGCCATCACCTTTGTCTAAAGGGTTAGTAGCACGGCCATCACCTTTGTCCTGAGGGTGTCCAAGCCGATTTATTTTTTTATTGAAATCGGATATAGAAATCAAGAGGTAAATCTAGATCTATAATCTATCAATTTTAATGTTTACACCAATGCATTAATTCTACATTAAGGACATGCAGAATTTACGATTGATTGTAATAACATCTAACTTTACAACAACATTGAAGGCTTAATGTATATCTTCACGTGTTGTTACGTTAGCACTTACTTCTGACCTCATTGTATACGCCTGCACTTGTTGGAGAGCATCTGGAACACGTTCAGGTGTGAAATGTTTTGTTTGGTTCAACAATTGTGCCAAACAGTGCACCTCTTTTAAGATAGTCTTCTCATCATAGTGTGCACAGCAATGTCATGTGTTCAAATCATTAGCTTCAAGTCAATACATGTGTTCAAATCATTAGCTTCAAGTCAATACATGTGTTCAAATCATTAGCTTCAACACATATGTGTTCAAATCATTAGCTTGAAGTCAACACACATATGTTCAAAACATTAGCATCAAGACACATGTGTTCAAATCATTAGCTTGAACACACATATATCCAAATCATTAGCTTCAACACATGTGTTCTTGAGATTGAAAATAAAGCCTAAGTAACTTTAAGTTAAGATACAAAAGAAATCCAATAACGAAAATTAAAAATAAATATCCCACATTTCTGATGATTAAATTATCTAATAGAGTGATCCATACATTAACACAGGGTTTTGTAATTACAAATGTCTTCTGTAAACACTTGTCAAGTTGACGCTGAGTCAGCAATAGGACAATGTACAATCGACGTGATAACTTGACAAGACGTATAATAAACACGACTCATAACTATTTTTTCAAGAATAAAAAAAAATTAGGTAGTAAAACAAATTTAATAAAGCAACAAGCAAAATAAATTTAAACATTCGCTTTTTACAAAAATTTTATTGCCGAGTCTCCATACATTTCACTACCAAACTCAAAAACTAAATTTTATGTCACCCTTTGCTGGATGTTTTAATGCTAGAAAAATCTGGCACTCTAGGCATCAGTTAAACTTACTTCACTGTCATCATTCTGTGACTCTTCAGTCAATTTTTGACTTTACCATTTTAAACTTAACCCATCATTATCAACCTTCTAACTAAATTCATCATTTTATTAGGGTAGATCTCTTAGAACTATTTTGTTGTAAAATCTTTGTACAACATTTAAACTTGGAGAAAAATTCTTCAAATAATTAATTTACAATCGTTGATAGATTTAGATATTTATCTCTTAGATTTTTCACTTGACGTATTGGCTTATTACCATCATTACCTAGCATTATATTGTGCATACAATAGCCTTATCTGAATAAATCATCAACACAGTGAATACACTAACAGCAGTAGTGTTAACTTTATGTTTAGATGATTTTATTGTCAACACTAATATCATTAGATGTACAGTGGTTACACCAAAGTCATGGAATGTCACTTGTCAAAACGTATGCCATGTAGATGTTTAACGTCAGCACTCATATGATGTCAAATGCCAACACTTATATCATGTAGATGTCAGATGCCAACACGTATCTCATGCATTTGTCAAATGTCAACAATCATGCCATATATTTGTTAAATGCCAACAATTCTATAATGTATATATCAAATATCAACACTTATGTATGCATATGTCAAATGTCACAACTTATGTCATGCATATATCAAATGTCAACACTTATGTCATGCATATATCAAATGTCAACACTTATGTCATGCATATGTCAAATGTCATTATTTATTGTCATGTATATGTCACATGTCAACACTGAAATCTTACATAGTAAACATTTAGTCACGCGATCTTGACTGGCTAATAACGTCACGTGATAATCAAGTTAAACCATATGTACATATATATTTCACATCAGGTTAGGGACATATTTATACATGTATATCACTGAACTCTCTCAGCTGTTTCAACAGAAGGGATATATTTGGTCATGAAACAAGTGACGTCACTGAATACTTAATCCCGAATATTGACCAGAGTTGACGTGCTTGAGTAGCCGGTCAAAGAGCTTGACCTCGTCTGTTCTGCCGTGGGCGAGGTTTTCTTTGGCGACGTTTTCGATCATCTGGTTCTCGACCTGCCCAGTGTGGGATGAAGGCAGCTTCGATCTGCTCAAACCTGATCTCTCTTTCTGGTAGCCTGGGGCTACAAAACTGTTGGCGTCTGCTGGTTGGCCTAGATATCTGAACCTGGGGATCAGGGGTTGTCGGGTTGTTGCCGGCTTGGCTGGCAGGTTGTCAGACAAGATTAGCCCAAAACGAGGCTCGTATTGATTATGGTTTGGGTCAGGGATTTGTAGATTACCTGAAGGAACGTGTACGTCATTGTTAAACCTGGCAACATTAGGATTCGGATTTAACTGGCGGTGATCAGTTTTGTAAAGTTTATGTAACACGTCACTAGGTACGTTATTAATGACACGGTTTGTACCGATGTTATCAAGGTGGTGGTCAAAGTTAGACGCTGGGTTACTATTCTGTAGGTTAGGGTTCGAACCCATAGTGTGTTGTTTTTGAGACAAGTTCTCATGTAGTGTTTGTTTAAGAACTTGCAATCGTTGTTTAATCTGCTCTAGCTCATCAACCGGAAGTTCGTCTAGAGTTGTCCCCCCTGTGCTGAGTTTCGAGTTGATGACATCAGAACCCTCAGCTTGTCTTGCCCGTGGGTTAGGGTTAGGTCCCTGTGTCTCTTTCATGCCATCTTCCATCTTTTTCGCCTCCTGAAAAAATTGAGAACATAAAATTTTAATTGTTTGTCAGCGCTGCGTTGCTAAATACAGGTAGACGGGTTTTACAAGAATATTAAATTTAAAATATTCGCTCCATTTCAACTTCACCTACTTTCACCCCCCCTATTATCTCGCAACATAAGGACTCCATAAATCATACAGCATTTAAAGACATGACACGTACAATTACGTACATGTCACAAAGTTTATATTATCCTTGTTATGTCCCTTTTTTCTTCAATCGCATCATTTATCTCCCTTGGTTCTGCCGCGTGAACTCAAAGGTCACCAAGTTTACGACATCTTGTGTAGTAGCCGACACGCCGTAAGCTCGGTGAATATACGACACGAGAAGCGGCTCCCGACATTCCTAGAGGTCGACAAATTTACGACAAATTGTGAGACTTCTGTCTCAGCGTGTGACACGGGACCGGGCGAGTGATGTCATGCATGTTAGTGACGCGGTGATGACATACGGCACAAGTAATCTGTTGTGTCAAACAGGTTTTAGCCGAAAGGAAACGTGTTTGTCAGAAAACCTAGCCATGAAGTAATTGCAGGCGGACATGTTGTTGTTGTTGACATAGGCTATTTATAGCAGCACTATACAAATGTTCTAGTGATGGCGAATGTACCGAAGCAATGCTCTCTTGGTGAAAACTGTGGTGGACATATTGTAAAGTACGTCTAGTGCAGAATTTAGAGCAGTACAGTTGGTGATAACATGGTCTGACTACCAAGGCTCGAGACTGTAGGTCTTCCTTTGGCTAACTGACCTTTATGTCTAAATCTAAACTGTGGGGTGGGAGTCTAGTGGTAACCCACGGGTCTAGCTGGTAACATGTGTGAGAGAAATGCGGTAACCCACGGGTCTAGCTGGTAACATGGGTGAGAGAAATGTGGTAACCCACGGGTCTAGCTGGTAACATGGGTGAGGGGACTGTGGTAACCCACGGTAACATGGGTGAGAGAAATGCCCGATACTTAACCCAGTTTTAATCCTTCTGGCTAATGAGCGAAAGCTTGAGCTGGTAATGACTGTGTGAGTGTTTGTGTGTGTGTGTGTGTGACCTTGATACAAGGTTGTGCTTGACCTTGACGTGGTTTTGAGTTAAAAGTGCAGGTGACCTACGCGTGACCTTGTGAAATTGATTGAAGAAAGGTCGACCTACAGGTAAAGTAATGACCTTGCGGTAAAATATAGGCCTACACTAGGTACAAAAATGTGCATAAATTAACTTTAATGTATAATTTTTGGCTTTTAATTATGATGAATCCATTAATTTCTTATGTGTAATCGTAGCTGGTAAAAAGAAAGAGTAAGATAAATCATGCGCAAACATTCCTGCGTCACTGTTTTTTTTTGTTTCCGCTTCAGTGATTTATGACATGGAGTTTTGTCCTTAGTTTTTGTTTAATTAATTTTACCAAAGTCATTAGCACTTACCAACTCGGTTGGCTAAGTTTAACATTTTTTTTATTGGTTGTTGAGTTTAGATAGTTTTTTGTTTTTTCACATAAAGCATAGCCATATTTTAAAACGTGTACCTTCTTAAGTATAATATTGTGGATTCACAACAAAGTAATTGAACTTTATGCGCCATATGACGCGTTAACTCCGAGTTCAGCTTACTTTATGTGTTTCTTCCAGACTTTTTTCTCCGGAGGTGGAGGAGTGGCACACGATTTTTTCAAAAGGGGGGGGGGGGGGGGCAAACACTGGTAAAAGTATATGTTTTTCTATATAAATTCCATTTATTTCAGGGAGGCGGTAATTTTTCTCCAGGGAGGGGGGGGGGGGGGGGGGGAGAGGGGGGAAGGAGATAACTGGAAGAAACTCTGAAATTTTAGTTCCTGAAATTTTCTTTGCTTTTGTCTTTCCAAGAAAAATCCGCATGACTTCAGTTTTTTATTTTTATTTTTATTTTTGGAGTTTTCTGACTTAGATGAGTTCCGCCCTCCCACCCCCCTCCACACCCACACCCTCGACAAATGTGTAGTTTTCTAGTATTTGAACACCTATTTGATCCACCCTGACCAAACAACACACAACCTGCAAACTTATAGTTCCTTATGTACGTCATAGCTGCTCATCTGATTCATGGACTGGTATGTGTACATGTCATAACTCAATAGACGTGGATAACATGATCCGGACATAACAACAAGCGGCAATAGTCGATATGCACGGCACAAGGTAATGATAGCTGCACATAGAGACATCCGGACACAGAAACCGATGACGTCATCCAGATACAGAAACTGATGACTTCATCCGGACACAGAAACTGATGACTTCATCCGGACACAGAAACTGATGACGTCATCCTGACACAGAAACTGATGACGTCATCCTGACACAGAAACTGATGACGTCATCCTGACACAGAAACTGATGACGTCATCCTGACACAGAAACTGATGACGTCGTCTGGACAGAAACTGATGACGTCATCCTGACACAGAAACTGATGACGTTATCCTGACACAGAAACTGATGACGTCATCTGGACAGAAACTGATGACGTCATCTGGACACAGAAACTGATGACGTCACCCTGACACAGAAACTGATGACGTCATCTGGACAGAAACTGATGACGTCATCTGGACAGAAACTGATGACGTCATCTGGACAGAAACTGATGACGTCATCTGGATACAGAAACTGATGACGTCATCTGGACACAGAAACTGATGACGTCATCTGGACACAGAAACTGATGACGTCATCTGGACACATAAACTGATGATGACAAATGGGAAACTGGACACACATGAAAAAGACGTTGGATGGCTGTACTGACCTCTAAATGTTGGATTGGGTGGATATCATCCACTGCCACCACTAAAATATCCATCAGCTTGGACCTTGACCTTGACCTTGTGTCCAACAACTTCCGCTCGTTGATCGGCTTGGCCACGTACCTACAGAGGTGACACAATGGTGACACAATGACAGGGGTGACACAATGGTGACACAATGACAGGGGTGACACAATGACAGGGGTTACACAATGACAGGGGTGACACAATGACGGGGTGACACAATGGTGACACAACGACAGGGGTGACACAATGACAGGGGTTACACAATGACAGGGGTGACACAATGATGGGGTGACACAATGGTGACACAATGGTGACATAATGGTGACACAATGGTGACACAATGATGACACAATGGTGACACAATGGTGAAACAATGACAGGGGTGACACAATGGTGACACAATGGTGACACAATGACAGGGGTGACACAATGACAGGGGTAACACAATGGCGACTCAATGACAGGGGTGACACAATGGTGACACAATGACAAGGGTGACACAATGGTGACACAATGGTGACACAATGGTGACACAATGGTGACACAATGGTGACACAATGACAGGGGTGACACAATGACAGGGGTAACACAATGGCGACTCAATGACAGGGGCGACACAATGGTGACACATGACAAGGGTGACACAATGGTGACACAATGGTGACACAATGGTGACACAATGACAGGGGTGACACAATGGTGACACAATGGTGACACAATGACAAGGGTGACACAATGGTGACACAATGGTGACACAATGACAGGGGTGACACAATGGTGACACAATTGTGACACAATGACAGGGGTAACACAATGACAGGGGTGACACAATGACAGGGGTGACACGGTGACAGGGGTGACACAATGGTGACACAATGGTGACACAAAGACAGGGTTGACACAATGGTGACACAATGACAGGGGTGACACAATGACAGGGGTGACACAATGGTGACACAATGACAGGGGTGACACAATGACAGGGATGACACAATGGTGACACAATGACAGGGGTGACACAATGACAGGGGTAACAATGGGATTATTTAAGCAATAAGATCTGGTCGTGATCTAACTGTCTTCTTCCTTGTTTTTAATTGTTATGTTGGACGGGATTACTTCAAACTTAATTATTACGTGTCAACTTGTTATGCGCCATATTGGCCGTTTACTCTGATTTCAGCCTGCTTTCCTTTTTAGATTTGCTTCCATAGTCTCTATCCAACCAAGAATAAACTACAAAGCAGCAGTAGTTTAATTTTGGGGCTGTACACCTAGATGGTGTTGCTCTCCCCACTATCCAGCCTCATCTGCCCGAAGGTTCGAACTGGGGTTTAGCAACCCTGAGCAACCCTGAGCTTTACCAACCCGACCACGTCATCTGCACTTCTTAACTCAAAATCTTAGAGATCAAACCTTGGCGATAGGATAAACCAAGCGGCTTGGTGCATTAAGTTAAATTGTGAAATGCGAAAACATGCGTGCATGATAACATTATATGACTGGCTATACAACATACACATAACTCGATCTCATGTAATAGGTAAACTCTACTTCTTCTGGGTCACGCTACTGGGAGAAAAACCGACCATATGCCGATTACGTCAAATAACTCTCCCCCCCCCCCCTCCACTTAGCTATCACTCTTACTTACAGTTGAGGCTGAAAAAACAGAAATGTAATACCGACTACACAACTTTCGATATTGCAGAGATCTTCAGTGATGTTATTCAGGATTTTTCCGATTAAACTCATGTTACAATGTGGCAACACTTTATTTAATCTAGCTCAGCAAATTGGCTAACCTATCCTACACCTACCTGGCCATCCAGACATTGAGAGCTGTGAGAAAAAATATCACAATTATCCCAACCGTGTTTCTCCTCTTCATTGTCACATCCGAGATTTTGTCGTTTGGTCTAGAGAATGACGTCACAGTTACCTCGGTCAGAACAAATCCCAACTGTACCGTCGTCACCCCGGTTGGCCGCCATGTTGGCGTGTACCTGGCCAGTCAGCACACACCGTGTCACGTGACGACCATGATGGCCGACAGGAAACAGGTCGCGGTGGAAGGCACAGGTAAGCCCCGTGTGACAGTTTGACTAATCGCTGGGCCGCCATCTTGGTTATTCTTGTCCGCCTTGTCAGACATCTTGCAGACGTCACATTCGTCTGCTCCAGCTGTCACGTCAGACGAGAACATCGTCAGACATCGACCCAGTCTCGAGGCTTGGCGAGAAATGTTCTACTTGCCCAGGACATATTTGCATATAGACATTTAATTTTTTTAAAGTAATATATTTCCTAAACCCGTGCAATGCTCTATAAACACACAAGTCATGGTCGTTACAGATTTGTTTTTCACAGAGGCCACTGCAGGGCCTGACCGGGACGGCTAAGTATATATATATATATATATATATATATATATATATATATATATATATATATATATATATATATATATATATATATATATATATTGAATTCAATCGACGATTCCATGTCCTGAAGTATTTGGAAATAATTAAAAAAAAAACATTTATTTTTAAATTTTATAAAATGCATTCGTTTCCTACAATTTTTTTTTCTAAAAGTGTACTTAATATTATATTATTTTTATTCTATAAACTGTTTAAAAACTGTTTATAAACTATTTAAACTTTTCCCTTATTTTTTCATTAGCAACTTTTTTAGCGTTTAAATTTTTTATTGAATTGATAAATGTAATTTAAAGTTGTATCCCCTTGTTCAAAATGTTAGAGTCAAGGGGAGATAATTATTTCGATTTGAAAATACTTTTTACCATATCCTACTATAATTTGTCAGCAGAGAGTATAGTCGTCTTTGAACTGTGAACATTAATACCAAGTTAAGGGAAATAACTTCGGATTTTAAAAGTTGAAAAACAATTCAGAAGTCGCCGAACTTTTCGCAGACAGTTTACAAACAGTTCAAAGTAGAAATTCTTCCTATTTTATGGAATGGAAATTATATTTCTTTTTACAAGCTTTTATTTAACTCACTTCCTCTGTCGTCAGTCGTCAGTCTAGACGGAAACGCAGGAGTGAAAATTCGGAAACTTCTACTTGATCGATACGATTCACATTTGGCACGTGGGTCAAGACATGGAGACAATGCAATCTGAAACTAAATTTGACTTAATTGGATGCCTAATTGATTTTTAATGAATTAATTAAAATTTGGACCGAAGTAGTAGGCATATCTAGCCAACCACACCACACGCGTCATCACCTTCAATAGCTGCGCCATCACGTAATGGCTGCGTTCAAAAACCATTGCGCGCCTACTGAACGTGATGTTCAGTAGGCGCGCAATGGTTTTTAGTCATGTAACTCTATTGTAAATAAAACATGTAAAGTACTGAAAAAAAAATTCATAAAAAACGTTTTAATAACAAGCTTTTATGTAATGATGCACTAAAAAGTAGAAAATAAATTATAGACTACTATTTAAATAACTATAAAGAAAAGCGTGGGTGTCTTCCTTAACATTAGTAAAGGTATCCAATAATACTAAAGTGACCCACGCTTTTCTTTATAGTAATTTAAATAGTAGTGTATAATTTATTTTCTACTTTTTAGTGCATCATTACATAAAAGCTTGTTATTAACACGTTTTTTATGAATTTTTTACTATCAAGTTTCATGCAACGTAAGATTCTCAAGACGCTGTTCATTAATTCTAAATGACTGTTGGTGTGAGGCAAAATCCTGTAATTCAGTTTTAATTTCTCCGTATACAATAACATCCAATGTTGGCGCAAAAACATGCTATTTTAAATCAAATAAGATTAATAATTAGAAATTAAAATTAATTAAAATATTACTATACTCAACAACAAATGATCGTGTGTGGGTATTTGTGTGAGAGGAGGGGATGCAATTACGTTGTCGCAAACGATTAGTTAGCCAACCACTGACGTTGATTAAGTACAGAAAACTGTCATTAGCTGTTAATCAGCTCGCTACGGAACGTGCTCCAAAGCAACATTTTTAGTCAAAGCCTGTTGAGTTTTTAAGAACGAACAAATTGGAGAAATAAAATTAGGTAAGTATAGTTTCTATTTCTTAAATATCAACTTATTATTATTTTTATTTCAATTTCAAAGTTCCTAACAAGTTGTAAATAAAAAACATATTGTTAAAAGTATAAACTGTCTTTTAGTACATTTGTCAAAGACAATACTGCACGACAGCCGTGTAGAACAGCCCTCTGTAACCACTGACCTACACCAATACAGCCGTGTAGAACAGCCGTGTAGAACAGCCCTCTATAACCACTGACCTACAGCAATACAGCCGTGTAGAACAGCCCATTAGAACAGCCGTGTAGAACAGCCGTGTAGAACAGCCCTCTATAACCACTGACGAACTGTACAGCGATGTAACATGTTTGTGAATCAGACGAAGACAACTCCAGAATTTCCGATTCGTTCTCTACATCACGTGGTCCATCTGGGTAGTAAACACTGGATGAGACTATCAAACCGAGTTCATGCCCTTGTCCGTAAGGGAGAGAATCTTAAGCCCAAGTGTTTATACGTGTCTACTCCATCAAAGCGCACGGAATGAATGTCAAGGGCGACTGGTCATTTGCATAAACTTGACTGAAGAAATCAGACTTAGCTGGCTTCCAAGTCTCCGCTATAAAATCTAGGCTTACAATGCGGAGCTTGTAAATAGAGACACGTGACCTTATGGGACACGGCCATTGGATGATAGACTAGCGAGCTCTTTTCATAAAATTAATGCGCCTCCGCTAAGAAGGGAGATAATGCTGTTTGATTTTTACCAGAGGGGAGACAAAAATCCGGAGAGTTTGTTGACGTCAAACAACATTAAGGGGAAACAACAAACTCCAAAAATAAATAATTCCGCGAAAAGTACGCATTGTTTTTTTTGACAACTAGACTATCGCCTTGCTCATAGAGATCTAAAACTGACTTAGTTTAGTTGACTGGTGTTAATTAAGGTCTTGGCCAATCGTTAATTTAATACACACCTTAAACACAACAGATATAGATGTTAAGAACATAATGAAATTAGAATCGATTTATCCTTTTCTGTCTAGATATTAATTTGTCAAATAATTTAATTAGTGACATAATTTAATTAGTGACATAATTTAATTAAACACAATTTAATTAGTCACGTGATAGGTTTATTGGGGTCAAAAACTGGCATAATGTATCGTGGGGATGTGCGTGTATGCAATATTGTGACGAATTATAACGAGGTTGGGATGGGGAGGGGGGGGGCTTTGTTTAGCGAAGGCACACAAGAAGAAAAACATATTGCTAATTAACCTAATTTCAGTAAGTGTTTATTTGGGGTGGGGGTAGTAGGAGGTGTAAATAATTATGTGAACGCTTTAAGGAAGGGGTGAGCTATGTAATGGATTAGAAACGTGAACCCCTTCATATCGTATCCCCAGAATTAATAGTCTCATTTTTTATTTTTACGTATTTTCTTCAAACTATACTGCATCATTTTATGTGAACCATATTGGATAATTTTTTTGTAAAATACACTGTATATATTTTTTCTGTAAACTAAACTGTATCATTTTTTTCTGTAAACTATACTGTATCATTTTTTTCTGTAAACTATACTGTATCATTTTTTTCTGTAAACTAAACTGTATCATTTTTTTCTGTAAACTATACTTTATCACCCAAAAGTACACAACCTGTTTAGAGGGTCAAGTAAAATATTTTTGTAAAAAAGTATCTTTAAAAAAATCACATACAGCATGTAGCATGATAGATGACGACCCCCAGCAAACCCCAGACGATCCCCACACACCATGACACGACCCCCACACGTCAGCCAATAAAACATTCTCCAGTTTTTCATGTGTTGACAAGCCTAAAGATAGCCCATAAAGTTTGACATGAAGGGACGTTTTTTTTTAGCTTGTTTGTGTTGCATTTTATCATCTGGCCAATCGTGGGGTATTTTCATTTCTGACATGGGAAATAACTCAGTTTATTATATATATATATACATATATATATATATATATATATATATATATATATATATATATATATATATATATATATATATATATATATATAAACATATATATATATATATACATATACATATATATGTATATATATATATATATATATATATATATATATATATATATATATACATATATATATGTATTTGTGTGTGTGTGTGTGCGTGTGTGTGTATAAACGTAAATATGTAGGTCTACATAAATAAGCATTGCATGGTTTAGAAAATATTTCGAAAGGTTTGTGTTTAGTCTTTAGCAGGTTTCAGCAAATTAAACTTAATCACTGAAATAGTGATCATGTTACGGCTAATTAAACTTCATCACTGAAATAATGCATTGCTCTATTAAGTCAATAAACATCTAAGGACTATCATTTAACTGCCTATATTCATCGATACAGCTTTCTGTACAACGAATAGCACCCTGACATGTTGGATAGACTCGCGAATTCGAAATGTTAATCGTGGAGTAGCCAGTGGATCGTTGACATGGGTGGACTGGCCCGCTGGTCCGCCGGGAAAATACCGGTGGGCCCACAGGAGCGGTGCTGTCATTTTTTTAATAGTTTGTATTTTAGCATTCTTTCAGGTGTTGATAGAGAAAAAAACTACAATGAAACTTTCAGTCTGGGGTTGGTGGCCTCTTGAATTGGGTGCAGTCAGTTTGTTAAGCTCTTGTACATTTATTCACAGAAGCTTTATGACAGCTTTCTTTCTGTTCTTGTGGTAGAGACTCATTCACATTAGTCATACAATTTGAGTTGTAAACCCTATACAAGCAACATTGATTTAAAAACACTCACATTTGGTAACATTGAAATCTCATCACTGTGTGTTTAATAAATGCAGCATAATCAATAAATCAAACAACGATTTGATCGACCTTTGCGCTGCTATAAATCGCGGCCTGCCATCGACTATTTTGTTCAGACAGCTAAGGCCAGATTGCCGTCAGCAGCCGCTCCAGAACCTAATCTCAGCTTTCCAGACGACCAACTCATTCATAAACCT